AAAACCCACCTCATTCTTGTGCTGGTATGTTTTCCAGCAGAAGCCAAGTAATACAACTGCAGCTTTAGGTGAGAAGTAGGTACAGTGTTAGCCCATCTCCCTGGAAGGGTTCTTTGAGAATGCCTATCAGCAACAACCTTGGTATTGGGCTTTCCCTGCTAGAACGCCAATAACTCTCTGTCTCTGCTCCCTGATTATGGTCTGTCTGTGTGTTTTATTTATTGTGTTTATATACATAATGTAAAAGGTTTACAAGGACCAAAATACGAGTCCCTTAGCAGGCATAAATCAGTATAACTTCAGTGGCATGTTGATTTACACCTGCTGAGGATCTGGCTAGCAATGTAGTACCTGAGCACACATTGTCCCTACTCTTTTTTTTTTCCTCAGGATCCAGAAAAATCTGGACTCATTCTGAACACACCGTGTCTCATCAAACTAGGGTGTAGGTAGTGATGAACTGAGTACAGACTGTGCAATTTAGTTGTATTGATGGAGAGAGATTTGCAGGACTAATCATTGCCACTTATGTTTTTAATCCTGTTGTGTAAATTTGGGAGAGCACCAGGCAAATTTTCATCTCGTCAAATGTAATGGTTTTGTTTATTTTTTTAAAAGCTTCAGGCCCCATCTGAGTCAAACTGGGACTGAGAGCACAGTAGTAAAACTGATTTTTCTGGTTGGAAGAAGTTCATATGAACTTTATCTCACATTTCCATTTGTATGCTTGGGTGTCCCTGGTGTTCCACTGTGATTTTGGAACAGGATCAAAAGCAAGCTGGCAAAGTCAGCAGGAATTGTGAAATTTTTTTGCCTGGTTTCAGGTCAGCATCCCAGTCAGACAATTAATCCCCTACAGTTCTTAACCACATGATAAGCTTCTCTTTGTTACGTTCACCACCATAGTCAGCAGGCAGAATGACTGGTGGAAGTTAAATCCAGGTTTTCTCAAATGCAGCTTGAGGTGTTTTCAGAAAGTATATAAACTTAATGACATGTGAGTTTTAGGTTTGTAAAGAATACACAAGTCCTGAAAGATCCTTAATTAATGGGTTTATCTGATTTGAGCTAGGGAGCATTATCCCAGTAAGGCCTGGTTCAAGGTAATTGACATGGGAGGTAATTTTTATTCAGGTGATCCCTATTGAGGAATCCAGACTGTTGGTGAAAATTAGAGAGACGGATTCCTACAAGGTATTTGGAGACTAACTGGGTACCCACAGAATGGCAAAGCTGACTCAGAGGATGTCTGAGTGACAGTTTTGTAGATATGCATTTGCTTGTGTAGATAGATGCCAATTGATTTTGAGTAAAGTTTTTAAGCTATGTAATTTATTTTTTTAAATGTGGATGAAAGAAGATAAGGGGTTTTCTGATGTGCTAGCAAAAATTTAGAGACCTCCTGATATTTAAAAAGTGCTTTTGTTTGCTTTGCTTTTCTTCTGCTGTCCTGATTTACACAGCAGCTTTTCTTATTGAAAGGTAATTTAGGTGCTGCTGTTGTTGCAGGTATGACCAAAGCCTCACCTGGGGCAGGCGTGCTCTGCTTGCTGATCAACAGGGACTGAGCATCTGGCCAATAGTGTCTGAATCACAAAAGTTGTTCTAGGACTTTAATTTCTGTTTTCACAGAACATTGCTAGGAAGAATAAAATAATCACTGCTGTGGAAAAAATTGAGTAGGCAACCTAGCCTGACAGTCTTTTGCTAACATAGCTAGAGTGGTGAATTAATTCCCATAGTGCCCTAAACCTTTGCAGTGATTTTTTTCCTGATCGTGATTAGTATTTTTTTCCTGATCACAGTAGTATTTGTCCTGGAGAATGACATCTGTTAGTTTCTCTAGTTATATCCTTATGCTAGAAATGGCAGAGGATATACTTCCGCATGTACGGAAAGATTCCTGACTCTGCATGCAATGAAGAAAGAGTAGCAGCAGGATAAAAACAGATTTGTGAGTAGTTAGTAAATGGGATGGCTTCATTTCACTGATCTTCATTACTGGTTAATTGCTTTGCAGTTGCTGGGTCCTGGAGAGATGTGAATATATTCCCATATCATAAATGTTTCACAAATCAGCATTCAGACCAGATGGAAATGGATAAAGAATAGTCATTTTGTGTGTTTCTCAAAAAAGGAGTAGAAAGATTAATGCATGGGAGAATGTTCAATTAAATTGCAGTACTCATTGCCATTGGACGTTGTGGATGCTGAAGGTGTTCCTGGACTGCCAAGGCACCTGGACAAATTCTTATAACTTTCCTAGGCTTCTGTTATTAGTCACTGTTGGAGAGGGGTTACAGGCCTGGGTCTTTCGATGACATATGTTACTACCATGTCCTTACAGTTCATTAGTTACAGGATGCCAGTCATCCTTCAAAAGCAGAAACTATCCCTAATGTATAGGCTGCCCAGTAATGAACTGGGGTACTCCCTAGTAAATCCAGAAGACAAAGAAGTCATAGATTGTGTGGATGTTCTTTGCATAATCTCCTGATTTGTCCTTAGTGGATTTATTTGTAGAGAGAAGGACACATTCCTCAATGAATTAAAGACAAGAAAAATAAAAATCAGGAGGAATGATGCATTCACAGTGAGTACAGTGAATATTTTCTCTGACTCTCCTTGTGATCAAATAAGGTTTTCGAAAAATATGCGTGCAAGCTTAGACTGGAAAGCAGTGGATATTATGGTTTGATATGACATACAATATAACACTTGGCAACAAAGTATTCTGAAGAATGTCCTACTCTGCTTTAGGAAGGGATTTGAAACTCTCCCCTGTACTTTTGCAGAGGCTCACCAACCTCCAGTAACCACCAGTGACCTTCCATCTCCACCAACTCAGCCAAGAAATGTCTCTGGGACAGGCTGGATGCATTTCCCTTGAGAACATATTAGCATGGAGCTCGAGCTAAACAGAGAAGAGTGAAATATTTCATGGCACAGGGTCCCCCTGGCTCTTAACTTTTGCTGTGTGTTAGCATTTGCAATGCTCTTTCACCACTGAAACAGATTAATTTTGTCAGAGGTTTCCCTTACAAGACGTCTCCTCTATTCTTGTGTTCTGTGACTTTTCTTGCTTCCTCTTTAGAAATAGCTGCCATTTCCCAAGAAGAATCCTACCCTAGGTGTCTAAACCTGTCAAAATCAAAGTATCTGGGGGTATAAGAGCTGGGAGTTGCTATGTTCTTCTCTCCAGGCACAGCGTGACTTTGTTGTTGTATATTAAAAACAGCAGCTGTTGTTGGAGGTGAGGGTTCTGGAACTGAAAAGCATAATGTCCTAATTACCTATGGCAGGGAAAACATCTGTGCGGGAAAACTGATGAAATTAATTCCAGAGCTTAGCAACTGAATACATTAATTGACATTAATTAATGCTAAATTACAAAGCTCTGCCAATGGAATCACATAAAATGTCCATGAGAATCAAATGCCAAAACAAAATCCTTGAGTTAATGTGAGCACAGCAAAACTTCCCTTAGGAAAAAAAAAGAGATCCAGGCACTGCAAGAAGCCTGTATTCCTTCTTTCTGTCTCCCATAGCAGAGGGAGATTTCTTGGTGTGCACATCTTGGGGCTTGGCTGGGAGATTAGCTTAAGCAATTTCAGTGCTCTGCCCTTTAGTAGTTATTACTGGCATTTTAGAGTTGAAGCTGTGGAGAATTGCACGGTAAAAGTTCACAGGAATTGCCGTAGTAAATCTTCATCAACGGTACAATCACTGCTGTACAGACTCCTGCGATCACGGCAGAAATAGACATAATCCCCATTCCTCCATTAAAACAGGATCGAAAAAACTTCAGTCACCTGTAATGGATGTCAACCTGGCCTTCTCTTTAAATTCTCTTGTGGAGGAGATTCCTTAATCTTCTTTGCTGGCTGGTCCCAGCAGTACCCGTCCTGTTACCTCCCTGTGCTCTCAGGATAGATAACCTGTTTGCATGGGAAGTAAGACAGCACTGCAGTCTCCTCTTAGTGTCTCCCAGGTGGCCGGTGTGCCTGTGGAAGTAAAAGGAAGCAATGGTGGTGGTGGTGGGGAAGGAAACAAGGTGGGAAACAGTGGTCTGATCCTACATAGCTCTATGCTGGGTGATTCGCTCCCACATGTAGAAAGCCACCCAGTCTTGCCAACAGCTCGGGGGGCGGTGGGGCCAGCCATTTCAACTCATGCTGCTTTGTTTAAGCTCAGGATTGCCAGACATTTCACTCGGGACCCCAAAATGAGAGGAGATGAATGTGAGGACAGGTATGGAGGGCTGTTCTTCATGATACAATGGATGGAGTTTATAGGAGAAGTGGGAACTGGTTATGTTGCAGGTGAAGAAATGCATGCTTGTTCTCCGTCTTGTGACTAGGAGGGGACATGCTGCACCACACAGTACTGTTGGGTGGTAGAAGAGGCTCTGGCCCCATTGTTCCCCTTTTTCCTGGGAGCAAAGGGACAGAGGGCTGAACAACTCTGAAAGGGAACTTTCCTGAACTCACTGAAATGAGCTTAACTGGGAGTTACGTTGTTCCCTGCCCTCTCGTGGCTAATGTGGAAAAAATCACATCCCTCTAAAGGGAAATGCATTTCGATCATGCTGTCCAGGCTGTATTAATTAATGTTTTGCAGTGAGCTGCGAAAGCATAAAATGTTATAAACTGCAGTCACTAATAATACTTAGCACTTTATATATTCCAAGAACTCTGCAAATGCTGGGGTAAAATAATCCCTCATCAAACTTTCCTGAAGGTTCGTTACTCTGCATGTCTGCTTCAAGCAGAAGTCAACAGCCCTTAGAAGCAAGGAAAGAAATGTCAAATGATAGATTTTAATTAAAACCAAGATTAGATATGAGATGGTAAAAATCCAGCCATTTCTATTTCGGTGTAAAATGCTACTTCTCTGATCAGAAAGTGGTAATTATATCAAACAAGTGGCTGGGCTTCTCCAACAAGGAAAAAGATTAGCAGTAGTTCTAAGATTAAATGCCATGTAGTGTTTCTGTAATGCTAATGCTAAAATGCTAAAATTCTTCTTCATGTAAATCAGCTTTGTCATTAAACAAAGAGCAACTTCTTAATTGATATGAAAGAACCTAAATCGAGTACTGAGAATCTGGTTCTGTATTCTAGGATAAATTACCACCATGAAGAAATTCAAATTGTTTTTCTTCAGGTGATGGATTATGAGATGAGCACCCTGCAGTGCTTCAGAATAGGAGATGAGGACATCCCATACAGTGATAGTGGATGAGATGGCTTTAGGGCTGCATTCAGGCCATTTACTTTGAAACATATGACTGATTGAAACTGCTAAGGCCTCTGGTTTCAAGAGAGTGTGGAATAATTGCCCAGGTCTGCCAGCGTGCATCTACCTACACTGTCAACAGAGAAGTAGGTAAAACCCGTGAACAGGAGGTGATCTGAATTACTCTGCAGAGTGTAAGTGCTGTAGGAAATACAGAAGTGCGCCATGGAAGGGGTTCTCTGTGGTGACAATATGGGGCAGGTGTCCTCTGAAGGTGTCCTCGTACTTGTGTATGCTCTGGACCTTGGTCATATTCTAAATAAACTTGGCATGTGACTGTGGAGAAGCTGTCATGCTCCACAGCAAATCCCACACCACGGGGATGACAGGGAAACTGTAGAGGCTCAGCACAGAAGGTATCTGTCCTGCAGCATAGACAGAACTATTCAGACCCATAGTTATTTTGGGGGTCACAAGATTTGGGCTGTTTGTTGCTTCTGTAAAGGGTCCTTCACAGCTCTGTTGTTCCCTCTCTCAGTTCCTTACTTCAAGTTTAAGCCTGGGTAGCATCCAAGTAAACTCAGCAGGGCAGGTAACAGTGTTGAATGATATGCTCTTGACTAGGTTTCTGTCAGACCTGAGCCACAGGCATTACGTTCACTTTCAAATGCTGCTTCTGGTCTACTTCCACCATGGAACCACAAGAGTGGCATGGCATAATCAGATCAGCTATGCTGGGCTCTGTCTTGGTATAAAGGAGCAATGTATAGCTCCGATGTCTGATGTAGGGTGGAATGAAAGAAATAATGGGAGTCTGAGGCAGGTGAAAAGGAAGGAACTTAAAGGCAGAAAGTAATCAAGGGTGGATTTACAAGGGGTGTAAGAGAAAGAAGTGGTGTGTTGCGTTGAATGGATGGTGTCACTTCATGTCACGTGAGGCTGGGAAGCACAAATGCTGCCTCAGCAAATAGGTTTGTGACAGTAGGAAGAATCTGTGCTCAGGATCTCAAGTGTCTTTGTTTTGTTCTTTTCCTTTCAGATGCCCAATACATCACCTGCAAGATGCAGAACTGCAGTGAAGCCACTCGCAGCAAACCCTTTCCAGGTTATATTGACCATAACTCCCTGATTGTCCAGGATGATTATGTCTTTGTTCAGGTGCAGAACATCCTCTTCTCTTACTTATTCTATTAATTTAGATTCTATTATTTTCTCTTCCATTCCTTTGCATGTGTATGTATGTGTGCTAGCCCTCAGCTAATCAGACAACACTAGATCCATATAATAAAGGAATTGAGTAGATTGTAGCAGTTCATTACAATGCTAATAGTGTGCCTTTTACCTCTAGTATCTTGTCACTGTAGGGTGATAGAGTTCCTGCCTGGAGCATCCACCATATATATTGGGGTGCTCTGTGCCACTCATCAGCACTCTAGGATTAGTGCTGTAACCCCCAGCTTGAAGTGATGCGTCAGTCATCTGCTATCACAAGGGAGTAAACCAAACTTTTCTGAGCATGAGAGGGAAATAGAAAAGGAGGGAGGGAGTCAGGGGAAGAACCAAAGAAGGAGTAATCAGGCTTTATTGTTATGCCTCAGTTGTGGTTATAGTGAAAAGGCTGAAGATGAGATGTACTCAGCCAAGTTGTGTTCCAGGTGAGAGCTGATGAATAGATCTGAACTACTGTGGGTTTCGGTAGCCTGCCACTGGTGTCCATTTAATAACAGCTGAATAGGATGAAAAATAACAACAGAATTGCAGGGAACGTGGAGGTGAACTGGAAATAGGACTAAACTGGTCTTCCACAGAGTTTATATTCTGCCATGCTTGGGGGTGGAGGGAAGAGAGAGGACTGATATTTTAAATTGGGTGAGTTGATTGTTAATTACCTTCAGTTAATTAAGTCAGTCATAAACACCAGTCTAAATCATCCACAAATAAATCTGTGACATATGTTCCAGAATAGTTCTTGTGCCTAGTGTGTCTGAGGCATGAATTAAATGTTTATGTGGTAAGGAAAACAGGGGTATGAATCACTGTTCAGGCATGCTCTCTAATTTCAGAATGACTGTCTGTTTGTGGCTCAAGTGACACAGGAGCTGGGGAATTTCTCTTCATACGTGAATTTGGTTCATTACTTCATCACTGATGCTTTGCTTTTGTGCTCTTCAAGATTGTTAATCTTCTCTGTTCTGACCTGATGTTATTACACATTGTAGAGAAGCCAACCCCTTTGCACCATCTGAAATCAATGCTGGGGAGATTGTCTACCTCTCTGAATAGCCCTTGTATTTTGATGCATTTCTCTTGCTGTCTATAAACTGTTGTATAGTGTTCCCAGTGCTGTCAAATTTCGGCTTTGTTACAGCTCTGTGCTAGCTGCATGGTGTAAGGAGGAGCATGTGAGGAGAGGCAGTCTCTTATGACGTTCCCCTTAATGCCCAATGGGACTTTGCACAACTTTATATATTCATGTTTGTAATGCAGTTTGAGAAGGTATCATGGAATATTTGGATTTGGAAAGCTCCTACTTTAATCCTTAAACTTCTTAGGATTCTTACACAGAAGTAAATATAACAGGTCAAAGAGATAGTACTTGCCAATCATTAAGAATTGACACATATGAAATAATAATATTGTAATCCCTGGAAACAACCTCTGCTTTGTTCCTAGTAGTCAGTGAATTCACTGTTGGCTGGCAATTTAAGATGAGATTCTTCAAGTGGTTACATACATATATACACATATATATATATATCTGGCTTGCAAGGAACAGGTAAATAACATACTGTGGCTGATGCTGGACCCTGCCTTCTCCCAGGCCCTGTTCTTCAGAGGATGAATAGCCGTACACCAGACAGTAAAGGCTTGGAAGAATAGATGAACGCCCTGGGCACCCTCCCATAGCCTTCCCTACCTTCCTTGATCTCCATTTAGCTTTTCTGCAACTAAGGCATTTGGAATTAGAATTAGTAGGCTCAAAAGCATGAGGATAAAGGCATGTGGGTTTATTTCTTCCACTACACTGTGTTTTCTTTACAAACTCACACTCTCTCATAAACAGTGCTTCTGGCCTTCTTTCCCCTAACTTTTGCCCAATTCCCTTTAAAAATACTTCAAGAGCTTTAGAATAAGAAATAGTTCTTATTTTACTTAATCTGGTATGAACTTAGCCTCTGTGTATCTTGCATTTTAAACTACTGCAGTGCATTTTAAAACACTTACTACTAAACAAAAATCTTCATAAGCCCAGATACCAGGCAATTAAAGCAAAGTTCTGCATGGAGGATCCCTTGGAATATTTGTTCTTCAGTATCTTTCATCCAAATATTTCAAAGTACTTTACAAACACTGATTAAGCTTCAGCAGCACTGGAAGCCAGATAACATTGACAGCTTTTTTTATTTCTGTTTTTTACCCCTTTAATAGGTGGTAGGAAATGGAACCTCACATTGTTCTAACCCAGCCTTTTCAAGCTATTGTCATCAGTGTTTAGCCACTTAAATAAATGGTCAGATTCACAGAAACACCAAATCAACTCAGCTTCTCCTGCCTTCAGAAGCTGTGAATGCTTAGCTGATCTGGTAACACATACATGTGATGGCTTGTGCAGGGCCACACAGGAACCAAAGCTGGAGGCAGAAATAGAAATCAAGCATCAGGTCTGCCAATCTGCTGATCTTACCAGTAGCCCATAGAGCAGCTCTGCAGATAGCAAAGAACAGACTGTTTTGTGGTAAGTCAGAGGAGAGCTGTGGTATCAGCAGGTGATGTAATGGCCCAAGTGAAGCCAGGACTTTACTTTCCTCAGACTTCCACTTGAAATTCTGGCCTTTGTCTCTCTTTGCAGAAAATGGGATTCCTCTTGCTCTCTTTTTTAGCAACTGTCAGTTGGATCCATGTTTATTCATCAACTGTAATAGTGCTGCCACCAGCACTGTGGTATTTCCCTTGACAGCTTTTGCTTCGTATTTTCCGTGATAATAAAAAAATATTTTAAAAAATCCTCATGATAACTTTCCTGCTTCTCTCATAGTTGACATCAGCAAGTTTCTTATAGGAGGAATGCATTTGCACAGATGAAGCTGCCAAAGTACTCCTTGCCCAAGGTAGGTTGCTGTTGCTGGAATACCCGTATGAACCTACAGATATTTTGATTGTACAGAAATTCTTGAATCCAACACAAGTGACTGCAAGATGACATGCAATCAGTGAAAACATCATTCTTCTTTAATAGAACATTTGCAAGCAAGAAAGAACTGAAAACAAAGTCAGCACTTTGGCTAGTCAAGGACATCAGCATGAAATGTAGGCAGATACCACAGCCCATGTCAATTACCATTTCTTCATGGTTAGTTAATTAAGTTTTGGAGGGGACTTTCTTTTCTTTTTTTAATTTTTTTTTGTCTTAAAATTCCCTTCTCCTGTCCCTACCCTGTGTGGGTCGCTTTTTGTGCTTTGCCTCATTAGCAGATTTTAATGGGAACCAAGCAAAGAGATGTCTTTGTGTGTCTGCTCCATATCTTCCCTAATTAAGAACAATGGTGAATTAGCATTGGAGCTTGAAAGGCTATTGCTGCCTTCTGGAGCTGAATTTTTTAAAAGACCTGTATAAAGTGTTAGCTCCATTTTGAAGAAATCACCATTTTGCAGCTGGGTTCCTAATGGCTGCTTAACAAAGACAGAGGATTTTTTCTTTGAGGCCTTTTCATTCTTGATATAGTCTGGCTTAAATGAAATTTAAGCTCGAAGGTAGCAAATGATCTTGTGGATTCTATGTGAGGTCTAACATCTGGAGACAAATGCATTCCCAGAAATTAAGCAAGGATTGTCAAAAGGAAAAAAAGACAGTGCAAAGTCAGCCTGTTCCTAGAAGTTGAAAGTACACTGAATTTTGTAGGTAGAATTATTCAAAGGGATAATTTGGCTAATATCACAGCTGGCTGTCTTTGATTCCTCAACCCAACTGTTTATATGACCTGTTTATAGTGGATTTACTGGATGTCCTTCATCATATATCCAGACTGCACCTCAAACCCAGGCCTTCAGTGCCATACCTTACCTACTCTGCTGTTGTACCCTTTGCTTCTCTTTACATCACCTGAAAACCCAAGTTTACAGGACATTGAAGACCCTACCAGAAGCCATGATATCTTCTTGGCTCTGACACAGGAGATCTGTGGCCTGCCCCAAAATCTTCAGTCACATTTAAAGATAGGGTGGTTTGAAACTTCCTGTCCAAGCAGGAAGGAATTACTCTGTCAACTCAGATTAAATTTAAGCAGGTGTTATTTGAAGTAACCCTTAGCAAAGGAGTTAATTTTTAGCATGGTTGTTGTAACACCCAAATTGAAATTGCCGTTTGCAGCTGATTCAGACCATCTGTAGAGAGACTGCTTGCTTTGAACTGGTTGTCTCCTTTAGTCCACACTTCTTTTTCCAACTGTCCACCTTCTCAAAGAGATCTCTGGAGAGGCAGGGAAAATGCACTACAATTAAATTGCAGTGTGTTCTCAGAGAATAGGTATTGAAGCAATACATTCATGTTATTTGACCCAAAGAAAAAGGCAGATATTTAAGGAGGTAAGATGCTTTGTCACAATCTCAGAATATCTTCAAAGACCGAAGAGCTACATTTGGTTTGGAAGGAGCTACAGTGGATCTGTGGCTGTCTAGGAGGCTGCTATCAAAGCAGGATAGCTGCTTTTATTAAAAATGCACAAAGTGTTATACTATTCAAGGAACTGAAACAAACAGCTTCTTTTATGCCTAAATTCTCTTTTATCTCCTTCAGCTAAGAAAGTGGGGCCAAATATGGTAAACAGTACTAAGTGACTTCTGGAACTGAAGACGGAAATATCAAGCTTTTTGTCTCTGCAGGTCACTCTTCCTAAACTGGAGGGATGTGATGGCAGGCAGCTTTGGCAGGTGATACTGCTGCTCGGGCAGGAATGGCCTATAGCAAATCAAAACTAAAATATTCTTATTGTTGGCATTCATAGCCTGGTAGCCAGTTTTGATTAAAAGCCTAAATGAACTTGAAACTCTCTCCCATACAAGAAGATGTCTGTACATGTGCATACAAGTTGTGTTAACCCTGTAAATGGTCTTTATTGAGACCTGTTGATTTCTGCAGTGATCTGTGGGTTGGTACTGCCTATTCTGTACCACAGCACGACAATGTAGGCTCTGTCACAGACCCTGTAATGTCACTCATGATAATCACCTTAAATGTACACACAGGGTACATTCACTCCATTTTAGACCAATGCACTGGGCACACATCTGTGAATACTGAAGCAAGCCAAGCAATTGCTTTTTTAAAAAGACCTGTCCTTAACTAGTGCTGGGCTGAATACTGATGGGATGGGTGCTTGTGGTACCTCTGTTTTGAATTCATCACCTTCTTTCAACCTCAGGATGCACATCCTGATGGAAGAAGCAATAACCAAAAAATTAAAAAAAATCCTTAAATACAGACCTTAAAAAGAGCTGACAGTCCCAGTAATTGACAGGATAAAACAGGCATTACACATCCCTTCTATTTAACTTGCCAGGAAGAAAAGTTCGCTGACCAAGTGCAAAAAGGGCAATTCAAGCACGTTTAGTAATTCAGAAAGTCTTGGCCTTTAGTCATTTGAGTGGACACCTGATCAAACCTATGTACAGCGTCGTGCTCTTACTTTTGTCGCTGGAAAGGCAAGAGGGACAGATAGTAGAACTGCATATTAATGTACTTCCACTATGTGCTGGAACAGAGAGAGGAAAGCTCAGGCTGTCAGTAGGCAGATGCATGTGGAGCCCCTGAAGATGGCAACGACTATTTGAGAAAGGTGCCTTGCTTCACTTTTCTGTCCTCTTCCCTTTCTGTAGGGAGGAGAAATGAACATCTGTTGTAGTAGTGGAAGATGCAGTGAAGCTCTTGCTCCATGTCAAGATGTAGGCTGTCTTTTCTTATTATTCCTCCCCCCAAAAAAGCATCCCCCACTCTGAAAAAAATAAAATAGAGGCGAATATAATATGCTGATTAATTTTAGTTTTCTCAATGTGGAAACCAGAAAATTCCTGATGTTAGTCAAGGACCTGTTTGATGCCCATATACCGATCCCTTTCTGTTAAAGCTTTGCATTGTTACTGCATCTATTGGGTAAGGCCATATTAAAAGGAAAAGATAATTGATCCCCAAAGGCGAACAGTTGGAATGATGTCTTTTTTGACTTTCTGCACTGTGTGTATTATGCCAATTCTGTCTCAGTATCTGCTTCTCTGGGTTTAAATTCCTTCAGCCTTACTGGGATCTTCTTTAGACTTGCATCTTCCAGCATGATCTGATCGAAACTCAGGAAGCATCTAGTGAATAAATTAACTTATTTGCTTCTAAAGCATTCAAGAAATTGCCTTTAGTTTTCCCTGGTGTTGATCAAAATACCTTTTTACCTCTCTCCTCTAGTTATTATAAAACTATTGATTAAAATGGCAAGTTAATGAAACTGTACATTCTCCAGACAAAACAGCTTTACTTATAATCTCTGTCTATGTTCAGAGAGTTCTGCCCATGTGTATATACACATATGCAAAAGTTTATACTTGAGATTAGAGCTGTGATAGCCAATGCTGCCTGAAGCTCATTGGGAACACCTACTCATGTAGATTGACTAGGGTGACAGTCTGAAATAAGGAGCCTCTGACAAACAGCTGTGGCAGTAACTTCTCCAGCACAGCTGGAGCTAAGAGAGGGTATCTATTCACAACCACAATTAGTAGAAGGCAGTGGGACTTATATTGCCTTTCCTGTTGCCTCAGGATTTAAGCCAATCTGTTCCTCCACAAAACCAGCCCATCATCTGGGATACATTTTTCTCCAGCACAAAAAAGCAAGTAAATCAAGTGAATGTCCATACTCAGATCTGGATCTGGATAAACAAACAACTGCTCTGAATGTTAACTTCATGGTGAATCCACTTTCAAATTTATAGATCAGATTTCTTCATTATATTATTTTTCATCTTTACAAGGCTCCATCTGGAAGTGTTAATTCCCCCTACAAAACCATGAGAGTGTGAGTTGTGAAAGACTATTATTAACAGAAGGAAGAAGTAGCATCAGCTTCCAAAGAGTATATTTTCTGATAAAGTTCCCAGTTTTGCATATAGAAAACCCTGGCTGAGATTCATGGAAGCAGAATAACTTTGGGATATCTGCCCAAAACAGACAGAATAGCTGAATCTTCTGGGAATCACCTGGTGCTAAGAAATCTGCATTTCTTTTCCTGCCTCCACAGATTTTTATGGCACCAAAGAACTCAAGGTGTCTGTACTGGGCAGATAGAGCCTGGGAATTTCATTATAACAATCTCTCTTGGTGGCTTTCTGCACTGGGTAATAATTTCTCCAGGCATTGAAAGAGGAAATCAGGTAGTTTCTGGTTTTTTCTTTAATTATGCAATCTTTTCATTGTTTCCTGCCTGCTGTGACACACAGACCAAACAGAGTTGAACAACCTCACTCATAACAGTAGTGATCTAACTACAATTCTGCTCTTTACATCTAGGGTTGTCTTTCTGTTATATTTCTTTGGGGGATGTTTGGCATGGTGGTCCGGGGCCTTGTCTTCTGGTGGACACTATCATTAGAAATAATAAACAGCAGCAGCACTGGCTGCAGACATTAACCCATTAGATCCTCCTTCTATCAGTTCCCAAGTATACTTGGTTTCTGAATGCTAGGCAAGAAGCAGATGGTTCAGCTGCTTTTTTTTCTTCTTTAAAGAAAACCCCAAACAACACATTTTTAACATCTGTGATTCCACAATTACAAGTGGAATCACTCAGGTGCCAGAAAAAAAAACCCAAATAAAGACCCCTCCACACCCCGCCTCAAACAAAGTACTCATTAAAATGAAACTGTTGGTAGGGGAGCAAAAGTGCTGCTGTGTAACACCATACTGCCAATGTAAATGTTAAATTAACACCTCATCAGTTAATTACCGCTTTGAAAATTGGCAGAAGAGAGCTGGTGTAAAATATTCCTGGATGGAATTATCCGCTTACAGGAGTGTTGCCTACAGTTTCCGATTAAACTCCAGCCTAAATATATCCCTTGCTCCTCCACCATTATTTTGGTGCCCTTGGAAATGACAGAACAGAGCTCCCTCTAGTAACCTTCCTCTCTTTTCTTTCCCCAGGACATGCATGTTATCAGCACAGATGAGAATCAGGTGTTTGCAGCTGTACAAGAGTGGAACCAGAATGACACGTACAATCTGTATATCTCCGACACCCGAGGGGTGTACTTCACCCTGGCCTTGGAAAATGTCAAGAGTAGTCAAGGGCTGGAGGGGAATGTGATGATTGACCTCTATGAGGTATGTCATGACTCCAAACATCTCATTCCTATCTCAGGAGCACACATGATGCTAGTACCATTTCCTTCTTGCACATCAGTCTTCTTATATGCATGTGAACAGCAGAGACAAAACCATGTAGTTTTACTTTACCCTCATTTTACTTAAGGGCGTCAGTGCAATCAGCTGAGTTTCAAGGCTACGTTTTACACAGGTGTTGAATTTAGGCCCAGCCTAATATTATGAACAGATTCACTGCTGTACTCTCCTGTAGGTTCTCAGGTCAGGAAGAGCTCTTGGCTCTTTCATGCATGCGAAGGTATGCATCGGAGGATGTAGTGGAATAGTTCATTCAGTCCCTAAGAGGAACTCTTTAAGTTTCTCAGCCAAAATCCTGCTGACCCACATTGGTCCTGCCTATGGCTCTGAAAGCTCCCAATACTCTGAATAGCATTATTCTCCAGTTTTTGTTGCATTTCTGACAGTCTAATATCTTGTTTTAGAAGTAAGGAGAGACAGCATTTTTCAGCTATCTTTGTCAACTTCCTCAGCTTGGACTATTCTGGGAACTGTAGTGATTTTAGATACAGCCTCTTGGGTTATCCTGTGAGCATGGAAACTCTCCTACCTTGTCTTGATGTCCCTTTTACCCCAAGCCTTTTCATGACAAGTACATTCTGCCTAAGCTCACCTGTAAGAAGGCTGATTTACATTGTCTTCTATGACAGCTGATCCTAAGAATAGGACTTTTAATGTGCCCTTGTACTTCTCTTGCTCTGCTGCCTGTTTTACTTGTGGAGACAAAACTCAGCTAAGTAGAAATTCAGTCCTCAGCTGTTGTTTTGAGGGTCAGCTTCTCTTTTCAGGTCTCCTCCAGGGGATTTTCTGACCATTTAGAATAAAGGCCATGAACTAGATCCAAGTTCCTTTGAAAATGAAGATGCTTCCCATATTTCCCCATCACCGTCTGAATATTAGCTCTGCTGTATAGTTTGCCTTCAGCTGCCCTTTACTTGGAAACTGCCTTGAATTGTCCAGAGAGCCCAAGTGTTGTACATAAACGCAGATGGACTGTAGGAGGATGGGCACTGGCATTTCAGTCATTTTGGCGATTTTTACTGTTAATCTCTCTGTAACGTTGGCAGCCCATGGAAAGACTGTTGCCTCTTGTTACTGTCAGCTCGAGAAGCAGTTTCACTGCATTATGTAAAGATGTCCTACATCCCAGAGGGAAAGAAAAGCCTTTGTTTTGTTTTATTAAACTGACACCACACAGTAACCTGGATTGAAATTGATGGAATCAGACTTGTAGCATCATATCTGCTGATTATCTAGATAGAAGGAATAGTGGCTGACACTGAACCTGGCACAAACTTTCCTTTCAACTTGATGTTCTAGCTAGAAGGGAACAGAAAGCCACCCAGCGTGATTCTCCCAGTAGGGTTGTTGCAGATGATGAATGCTCTAGCGGTAAATGGAGATGAAGGCAAGAGAAGAAAAAATCCCTAGATAAATTAAAAGGAAGGGAGAGATTGCAAAATGAGTCCTTCTGTGGTGACAGCAGTATATTATATTATTGTATATGTAAGCAAGATTATTTGAGAAGATGCCAGAGAAAGACCTGTTAAACGTGCATGTGTCTGTATGCATGTTTGTCAGGTGTTAGAACTAAGTTCATCTGGTTGCATTGTAGTGAATGTGTGTGTGTGTGTAGATTCCTAAATGGATTCTACATCAAGGATAAATCTGCTCAATGCTGCTCAACAGAGAGTTGCATTGGGCATGAAGAGAAAATAGAAGTTCTTTCATGGTGTCCTACTATGTTCTCTCTTCTCTGTTCCTGTAAGTCATCAAGAGCCTTTCACTCGGAGGTTGTTATTTCAGTATCTGGGGTCTTCTGCTGCTGGACCTTGTAGAGGATGAGGAGACCACTCCTAGAGGGACACTATTCCCCCTTCTGCATGTTGGACAGAGCAGTGTGTAAGAATAGCTCTTCTCTCCACCACTTTCCAGTGCCACTTCATCAGTAGCACACTGGACTCAGCATTCAGTGGGTCTGCAGTCACAAAGGGGCTGTCCTAGAGACCATTTCCTAGAGGAAGGGAAGAGCAAGAATCACTGGCCATTGGGTCTGAGTGCCCTTTCTAGTTCCTGCACTTCTCCAATGATGTGGTATGGCTCTGCTTGGCTCTGTAGTTGAACTGGTCCACATAAAGACAATCCTTCCTGTGGGAATCCATGCCTGAAGTGTTAACAGACTGTGAGGACGTGTGTCTATAGCTATGGTATATATGCCTATCATTCTGGGACGTATTTTTTTTAGCAGTATGCATCTTGGATGGGAACTATATGTTCAACGTATGAAGTTGGTGATGGGGAGTGACGAATGTGTTTTGAGTTGTGTGTTTGAGTGTCTTGTATGAATCTTTCACTAAAACTGTAGACAGCATTTGTATCTGCACACAATATATTTGGGGTGGTGAGGATTGTCTACAAAGCCTGTGTGGGAGCTCTTGGAGTGCTTTTCTTTGACCACTGGTGATCATGCACTTACTTGCATGAGTCTTTCTCTCTTATGATTGTATGAACAGCAGGGATGAACAGATCATTGTGTGTGTCATGGTTGTGCATATGCAATAGGTGTATCTCTTGCTACTGAAAGCACACAAACTTGTATAGTGTGTGCAGTCTTTTTTTAATATAAACCTGTCTAAGACTGACAGCATAACTTACACTTTGCTTTCTCTGGAAAGGATTCTGAGTCCTAGCCCATGACTAGGATCATAAAAAGAAAAATTCACAGGATTTCAGAACACATTTATCACCTGATATATAAAATGCTCTTTAATCATTTATGGCCAGCTTTTCACAGGGACTATATAATATAACTATTTCAGGACAACAACAAAGGAAAGTACAAATGGAGCTATAGGCTCTGGCCTCTGGTAGTAAAGGCAGAACTATGTTGTTTTTCCAGTTCTATCTATTCATGCAGTATCACTGGGAGACAGAATACACTTGTCTTATCAGGGTGCCTTTCTACTGCAACAAAAAAATCCTGAATACTTAGCTGGGTGGTACCAAACAATCCAGCTAGGACATCGAAAATATTATCTTGTTATGGTTATATCAACAATAAATTATTTAACTACTGTTTGCCACGTGACGCCATTTAAGTAATAATCTTTATGAATAAAAAGTCTTGATGAATGATTCTGTGTATTAGTTTTGCATCATAAGAAGTGATGGGGTGGATGACTGAACAGACTTGCTGGAAACCAAAAGTTTCTCACTTTCCCCCTCCTTCTCCCTATTTCACTTCCCTTTTTATTGCAGCACTCAGATTGCAGAATGACAGCCTAACAAATTCATTCGCAAGCTGTAGCAGCTATTGGGCTATTGATTTTCAGTGTGCTGAGAAGATGGGAACATTCTGCAGTGTGAGTTGTGGTTTGAGGTTGACTTTTTTCCTCCCCACTAAGACACTTTTGGGCTTGGTTCCAATGTGAATCTGTTAACATCACATCTTTACAAAATCCTCTTGCAGGTCTATGGAGTAAAGCTGTTGGGTAAAACAGGAAAAATAAAAGGATGAGAATGTCCTTGTTAGCTCTATAACTAGCATTCTGGGTGGCCTTGCTTGAGTCACTAGTGCTTTGGGTTTCCTCAAAATACAAAACCATAATAAAAATACCTCTGTGCCTGAAGTTATCCTGTTGAAACACTGATAATTATGAACCACGTTGGGATCCTTAGATGAAATGTCTTAAGGTGGCTGTATGAGAATAGAAGCACTGATCTGCAAGTTTATGTGTGTGTTGCCATTTTCTTTGCAAGGCCAAAATTGCTGCTGTTTTCTGCTACTGCACTGCAAGAGACAAGTAATTGCCCTGTACATATTTCATCTTTCAGGGGGAAGGATGCCTACACGGTTGAGGGATTGTCAGTTTACAGATAATGCTGTTGACATCTTACCATGTTCCCATGCTGATTCTGAAATAGCAGCTTTCTTTTCTATCTGTCACCTTTCCACCTGTGATGGTCTTACCTCGATTTGCCTTCCTTTGATGCTCCTTGGCCATTCTTGCCCTGACATCTACCACACTGACACAGCCACCAGATCCCTGTTGGGTTTGACAGGGCAAGAGAGACACATGCACAGAACCTGCATCAGCTTGATCTATTTTTCAGCCATGTCAATTTTTCCTAGGTAGCAGGGATAAAGGGAATGTTCTTGGCTAACAAGAAGATTGACAACCAAGTGAAAACTTTCATCACCTACAATAAAGGGAGAGACTGGAGTTTGTTGCAGGCTCCGGCCACTGATCTGAGAGGAAACCCTGTTCACTGTCTCCTAGTAAGTACCTGGGGGGGAACTGGGGGGTTGGCAACATCCCAGAACAATCTTCTTCTACCAGGTAACACGAGAAGGAGAGGGCAGTTCGTCTCTCCATGCGGTGTATCTCATGGAGGGAATACTGCATATTAGAAGTGCAGTGCATCAGGCTTGGGCTTCCAGGTGGTATTGCAAGAGCTGGCATTGTAATTTAGCTTAATTTAATTTAATTTCTGGTACAAAAGGAAGCATTGTAGATCAGCTTCCTTCTGCACAGCTGATGGTGTCCCCTTAAACAGCAGGTGAAGCTGGATGCCGTTTCTGTGCAGTTGATTCTCTGGACACTAGATGGGAGGAGTGAGCTATTGTAGATCAGAAGCTGTCGGGGACCTAATAACCTGAGACAGCTCAAAGGAAAGGAGAGCTCTGATTTCTTTCAGGCCACTCTGTTGGCAGTATTAATATTTATCATTTGCTCCTTGAGCTCAGAAGTGAGAATCGACACATTCATACAAATATATGTATAGCTATGTTTTGGGTGTATATTGTTATCTGTCTCTGTACTTACTGGTATAGATCAACATATAGATAAGTCTTTAATCATCATTATATGCAAACAGTTTCCAAGAGTGAGAGTGAAATATAAGCACTGTGAATAGAATTGGAGATCTCTGTCAAATTACAAAGCTTAGACTGATCTTGACATGTTTTTCAGCCGATATAACCTGTACACAGTAGTGGGATAATACTCAGAACCCCAGCCTTTGGGATTCTCAATAGCTTTTATATGACACAAATTCTAACATGGTTCCAGGCAGAATCAGGGGCACTACTTACATTA